ACTGTGATATGGGTGACCATCCCCTTTGACGCCCTTATCAGATCTTATCAGCTGATAACACTTCCTGCCACCCACCAATGGTGTTCCCGTCACACCCCCTCCATCACTTCCTGGAACCAAAATTGCACTGCTACTGGGATGGCGCTATGAATTTCGTGACATACGCACATAAACACACACAGACATACTTAAGCGGATTATATATAGTAGGATTCTCCCAAAGCTCTAGCGGCCAAAGCGACCAATACTAGACTGCATAATCAGGCAACGCGTACCTTCCTTCTCCAGTCCCCACATACTCGCTGTATATAGAAGCTGTCGGCGCCGACCGATTCCTGTCTGCGGCCGCCTTTCCCGTCTATAGGATAAGAGCGCTGTTGCGAACGTAGCGCGCCGACGCGGTTACAGCGCGTCATCGCGAGGTCTGAGCGCTGCCTGACAGTGGGAAACCAGGTCATTTGAAATAGCAATCGCAAGAAAGGGAAGCATTCAGAACATTGTAAAAGCGAAAAAAAAAAGATCGGCAAAACAGAGAGAAACAGTTGAATATTTAGGTGCTCACCAATTTGTTATCCTTTATTTGGAACCACCGTCGATTCCACGTTTTGAAAGCATTCGACGATCTTTTGTACAGATAGCCTTCCATCATCACATCAGGGTCAGGAGGCATTCCAGAGAAATGTTGAAACATCTCCTGAATCGATATGCAAACATAACACTCGATACTTTGAAAAAGCAAAAAAAAAGACTGTTCAAGTAGTATCTATAAACAACCACTGTAAAAATAAACAGATATTCAGGATTCAGCTCAAGCCCCGTTGAGAGCCTTTTTCGTTTGGTAACCTTTAATTACTCCATGAAATCTCGACTTTTCCGCTCAATGCAAGGATTCCTTTCCGAAAGTTTCTTTTAATCTCCTATTTCGAAAGAGAAGTCGGCACTATAAACCTTTTACTGCGCTGTTGTTCAACGTTCAGGCCGAATTTTGACCGAATTTTTTCGCCGGTGTAGGCGCGAAAACATCTGGCAAAGCGTGCACATCAGCAAGAGCTGCTAGTGCCTTGGCGCCTGTGCGCATAGCGCACGTGCCACGTGTTTTGCGCTAGGAGGATACAATATTCGAATTCAGAGGGTCAAAATACCGCTGGGTGCGGGCTTCCACCAAAGATGGCGGCTTGAAGTGTTTTATCACCCACACCCGTGGTGCGGGCGTCATTCATTTTCGCGTTAAGAGCATATGACAGTCACGTTTAGAGAGTAAATTTGTTTCCAGGGCAAAATTTTAACCAAATCCACCCCTAAGGAAAAGTCACCAATACGTCACCCGGCCTGCACCTCGAGATGCGGGGAAAGGAAGTGTGAACAGCGCCAAAAGACTTTTCAGGAAGATTAAGAAAACCTAAAACTGGTACTCACAGTTTGTGGCAGATGAACAGGAACAGTAGAGCTAGTTGAGTCAGAATCGGTGTAAAACTGGGCAGTCTCCTTTTTCCGAGGCACAATCTTCATTCCGGGTCGACGTCTCAACTTATGTTTAGCTTTCGATTTATCAGCATTGATGATGTCTTTCCATGAGTTCGACCGTTCCAGTTTGCAGCGGTCGTTCGGGATCGATTTCGAACGTGGACGATCACATTTTGGACTTTCGCCTGACAAATAGCTGAAACCCATCGACACCGTGCTCTTTTTCGAACACATCGACACGTCGGAAAGTTTTTTGGCGAGAGGCGCTAAAGAATTTGTAGCGCCAGGAGGCTTGATACGCTCGTAGACCTTGATTGCTGGTGGGTCGGGAATTCCTTCGAAACAATAAAAAGTCGAACGAGCCGTCAAATTAAGCTGTCCCAGCATCTCTACAGTACGCTTTGCGTTCCATTGTTGGACTAGAGAGTAGTGAGCAGTAGTGAGCAGTAGAGAGTAAGCGACCAATGTCAGGTGGAATCACTGGCGAAGATTATCATGAGTAGAGTGAGCAATCAATATATTGCGAATCGAGTCGTAACCCGACCGCCGCAAAGCATTCGATGGACTAAGCCCCCTTGACGGTGACTCAGCCCACTTTTCCCCTACAAACAATCCAAAACAGTGTGACTGGCACTTTGGCCATTTAAGAGGATGGTTATTTCGCAACATTAAAGGGAGATGGTTAATCCTTTTGCACGAGAGAGGAATAAAATATAGCATGGGCACAGTGGCAACCCGTGGCCTGTCTCTATTTTCAACATTCCTCAGAAAGCCGTCACAAAGCGACGGAAAAAGCAGAAGCGCGACTCGTCAACCGGATCAGGGTCAGTTTTTTCGTGCCATCCTCATCTCAAACACTGTTCCGAGACGCAAGGGCAACTTTTTGGCAACATATAAGAAGCAACACGCCCCGTCTAATCCAGGCGTTCGTCCCTGCCATTACTACACAACAATCAGCTTTCCCCTTCTATCGGCGTCAGTTGAAACAAGAGACGAGTCGAGTCTAGATGATGAGGAAATCTCAAAGAAATGGACAAAAAGGGAAAATCATTGTCGTTTAAGTCTTGCGCTTGATCAATTACAGTTGGGGATGTGCAAGCATTCTAACTTCATTCAGAATCGTAACGGTTATTGAACTGGCGATGGTGGAATTAAATATATTAAATCGAATACCATTCGCAAATACAAAGACTCTATGGTCAACCGAGAGGCAAATCATCCTCGACCAGACATGAAACGTGGTCACACCCAAGTACACGCTCCCGAGGTGCAGAACTGTTGCCCGGGTCACGACCGTTCGCGAGACTTGATCCTCCGGAAAGTGCGCGTTCTAAAGCGTGCCACTTTACGCACTAACTAACCTCACGAACTATCCCCTACACAACGCTTTTTAGGCTCACTAGTCACATTAATGCATTAATATCTACTTCCAGACATGAGCTCAACAAAGGATGACATCTCCACGCTGCCACTCGCCTGATTCCAGTGGTATTAACATCACACTAGTATAAGTCGCCCTCACGCTACAAGCGCTGCAATCGCAAGTCTTCGGAAAATGGGTAATCGAGCCTCCTTGTCGTGAACAAAGGTATCCTCGCCCACTTTGCATAAGGGTCCTCGAACCCTAAAGAGCGTTCATTCTCTCAACGTTCGCGCATACCCGGCAACATAGTGTATCGCCAATTCGTATATTGTCCTTAGACACGTGGGCACTACTCCAGCCTCCTCGCAAAATTGACGTGAATAAGAGAAAATCCATGAAATGGTTCTCGTAAAACTGCTTGAGAGTACGCCATGCATTGATCTTCTACCCAGAACTTTGATAGACAACGAAACGATTCAAGGTCTCACTGGAGAAATATATAGAAAGCCTAGGACAATTCTAATCATAGTGCTTTGATATTATACGTCATTCCATTTTTTCGTGCCGTTGTTTACCTCCACCACCACCGTCTGGTGAACCGGTTTAGATGTCCAAGATAACTTTGACGACGGGGTCTCACCATATATGACAACTGAATAATGATGGTAAAGTCAGGCCCTACGGTTCAGGGCACGCATAACGTCTCATCATTGAGGTGGGGGGGGGGCAATATTTTGCTCAAACAGAGGCAGGAGTTTAATTTCTCCTCTGAGAAAAAACGTCTACAGTTGTGCTGGTAGTAAATTCACGGCTTTCCTGTAGATATGCTCTGCGTTGCGAAAACGGGCCGGCACGGGAAAGTAGAATTTGGAAAGATGTTGGTAAGGTAGAATGGGCATTATCTGAAGGATAGGTGTCGTACAAAGTAGAGGACCTTTATGGGTGGGTCGTATTTTGGCAACAAATTTTTCTCCAGCGAACCAGACGTGCCCTTCTCCTGTCTCAAGGATCGAACACACTAACACAGTCTTCCAAATTTGAAAATTCCCCTCTTTCCATCAATTTTTTTCCGCGACAATTCCCACTCGTGCTGAAAACTATCGAAAAAAAAACTTAATTCTCGGCGGTGATATCCTACCTTGGGTACAAGTGAGTGTATATCTTGCATCTTTCGCTGTACCAATTTACTCTTCGCAGCAAGAGCTATGAGAGAATCAGCGACACCGCCGTTGTCGTGGGCTGTCCAGTCGTCGAACACAGCATGTCCTCGGGAGAAATAAGCAGATGTCTCGCGAACAAACGACCATAGCTGAAAAACCCTGTTTTGAAAGCAATCAACAACGCTCGTAAAAGTTCTGTGAACCAATAAATCTTCCAAATCAAAAACTTTATGGGCCATTAACAACATCAGGACTAAAATATGTTAGTCAACAGGCGCCGGAAAGAGAATAATAACACCTCAGCTTTTTCGTCTACGTCTGAATGGAATTCTATTTTCTGCAGACAGCGATAAATGATTACGACTTCAAGTATAACAATCTCATCGCCGCACCTTTCGCATACCAGTTGCAGAGCTCTCATTCCAGACGGATCAAGAATGGACCAGCTCTTTCATAGCCTCTCTCAGGAAGAACCAAACAAAAGAAAAAGGAATAAGCAGCTCACGATTCGACCAGCCCTCCTACTTGTAGTTTCTTCTGGAAACATAGCATTTCAGTCAGGTCCGTGATGATGCGCTGCGTTGAACTGTTTCATTTTCTTTGTTCGATGCGGTATGACATCTTTTATCCCCTTCCGCCCAGCTGTCAACTTTCAAAAAAGTGTCTGGTCACGCTAGAGAGTTTGAAAATATGCGGAGCGCTACTGTGACAAAAACGCTACACCACAAGTGGGGGTATGCCATTCCGACGGAGCTATTATCACGGGAGGGGCATTCCTGCTTTCAGCAGTTTGCCAACCCATCTAGGCACAGTTTTTGGAGTTTTTGACACTTTTAGGACGTGCGCGCCTAACGATCTCCTCCAGCTCCAAGCGTTCAACAAGTTTTACCAAGAGTAGGATTTGTGAACTGGAAACTAAAGGGAATGCAATTATAATAGCAAAATGCCCCCCCCCGTCGATAAAGCAGTACCGGACGTCTTACGGCGATGAGTAAAATGAGCCATTCAGCAAGACCCTCCCTCCCTGGCAACTCAAATGTTATCATTAGTTAAAGATTTTTCAGGGGTAATATGCCCTGACCGTAATCCTAATGCCGCTGGCTACCCGCCAATTAGAGGTAAGTTGGGTTTAAGGTCAGTGTCCTGGAGCTGGTAAAACTTTCTTTGCGATATACGGGCCTCTCCAATGGAAAGTCTCTTAGCGAAAGTGCAGCTATCAATACGATTTTTTTCTCCCTAGGGCCAAAAACAACCTCAGCTTTCTCCAGCTACCAAATACAGTCTCCCTCGAGGGACTCTCGAGCGTGTTCTGGAGACAGTTAACCTCAGAGAACTAACTTCAGCAGCACGCTCACCCTGAAGTCACAACCTTTGGTCCTGTACATTCGCGCAAGCAACGATTTGACATCAAACCCAGCATCGTGGAATAACCTCATCAACCGATTGACTTGTTCCACGGTAAATGGTTCAGTATATGGATCATGAGGTCTTGACTGGCCCCTCAACAGGAACTTTTCAAGCACGACAGAACTTATCCGGTTACTGACTTTCCCGATTTTTCATGTTCCATGTGTGCTCTAACCCCCTCCTCCATACCCCCTCTACTCCCATATCACCGTAGCTAGAATGAGTCGATCAACCCGTAACAGGGAGTACAAACTTAGAATGTGCCTCAGTTTAGATTTCTTTTAAAGGTTCTCCCCACACTATGGAGATGGCGATTCCGGAGTATGGGAGTACCTGCAAACTCAGATGAAGGCGGATTTCGCAGATAACCAGATCGGGCGAGACAAAAAGCGCCGGCCACGCTGACTGCAGTGGTTCCTACCTATCCGGCGGCCGCCATTTAAGAGGGACAGGTCCATGCAGTGAAACAAGAAATGTATTGATGCGTCTCTTCGTCCGTCCTGGACTTCCGGAGCTTTTTCTACGCTGGTGGAGGAGAAGCCGATATGGATTTCTATCCTAGCCACTACTTTCGCATTTTTGGAAAAAAATATCAGTGGCTTTCTATGACAAATCACTACTTATACCAACCGCTTCAACTATAAGATGGTCCTTCTGTGCGTGAGCAATATTTATCTGCGCGACGTAGTCCATCGTCGTATGAGCGAAACAGGCACCGACCTGGAACCGCAACCGTTTCTGATCGCTCAAAGGCCATTATTTCGTCAAGAGTAAAGGATTATTCAACTAATCATAAAGATGAAACAGACCGCCGTAAGTGCATTTCGACCATCTGCAGCATCAGATGGACGAGCTCGCGTCGAAGCCGCGTTACGCGACAGTGCCTCATCCATACTATTAGACATTGAATCAAAATGAACCCGAGCTTCTTGCACCTTTGCCAGCTCGCTGAAATAAAATGACTCCAAGGGTGGCGATTACCCCATCGAAAGCGCCAAAATTTAAAGGTAGAATACAATTAGAATCTTACGTTTTGAGAAAAGCATTGATTAAGCTGTACAATCCCATGCACGATTGTTCATGATAATCCTTCATAAGGCTCACAGTACGACCACACGCATCTGAGAGGGTGTGTAGCGTATTCCGAGCTAGAATATTCCCTGAGAAAGTCTCGTCGCTCATTTGATTGATAGAGGCTGTGAGTTTACTGAAATCACATAGAGGAAATTCAATGAAAACAGTCCAAAGCTCTGAGCATCCAACAGAGATTTCATGAAGATCACTTCTTACGGTAATAAAGTGTGGTTCGCTGTGGGTGATGGGGCGTGTCCGCGCGGCTGCGTTTGTCGTGGCGCCAACCCTTTTTTTTGTTTCGGCAAGCGAAAAGATTGTATCACATCATTTATATCAATCGTTTTCCACCGGTTGTTGTCGCTTAACCGCTTCACTATCCGATTGAGAATGGGTTTGGCGGCGCGCCAAACGCAGCCGCGCGGACACGCCCCATCGTCCGCAGCGAACCAGACTGTACACATCTTTACAAGATAGAAAAAATGGATTGCATTAGTTCCCATTTATCATTTCTGAGATTGAATCATTTCAATAATGTTCCTACGAATCTATTCAACATCTTCAACAGCCCATGTTTTCCTACAACTTTCCTACATTCTCTGACAGGGTTGCCCATCACGAGCAACAGCCAAATCGCGTCATTGCACTTTTTATAAATGCCCGTAAAAACAAGGCTCAAAACAACTTGCGCTGTTCCTAAGTAACTATGACTAACAATGCCTTGCACCCTGTCCTCAGCCTGCATCCCATAAACGCAACTCTCCACAACTTAATTACCAGAACACAGCGTCGGGATGGGTGAATGCACTGTCGGTGTGACCACCCTCCCCGCCCCCTCTTCCCGGCTCTACCAAGCATATTCCCAAATTCCTCCAACCTCCCGAATCCTTCCCGAGATTTTTTTCCCAAAAACTGCGGAAGGAACCTTTTCCAACCAACTATAAGAAGTAGATGTTGTCAAGGCTTTCCGCATCATGGGGATTCCCAGTTAAGGGTCGTTGATTTCTCTGCCACTGCAGACCTTGTTGAGTTCCTCTCGAACCCGGTAATCGAGGGGGTCTGGGTCAGGTGACACACTATATTCCGTCTTCTTCAGGTACTCAACACCCTTCGATTCCAAGCAGGCAAGAGTTTTTCCAACACCCTTCGATCACCCAATCTTGGCAGTACGGAGTTTCCAAGATGGTACAGGCGACGACATGAAGGCAGGATATTCTCCTCGAGTTGGTCGATGTAACCGCCAGCGTTCACTTTCAGTCCGGGGTCCACGAAGGCAAATATCGGTTTCCCACCAGAGCTTCCGGTCCATACTAATATCCCGCGCCCTGGCGACTGCGGTGAAGATGATATCCTGGACTGTAGCGACGTTGTCGGAGCTGCTCGATGTTGGAGGTCTCCCAAGAGTGCTGGTCCCTAGGTAGCTGTCCATGGGTGACTCCATACAAGAAGTTTCGCAGCTGTTTGGAGGTGACGTGAATTCCATAGGCCTCCAGTCAGGCTGCGATTGGAGATGACTTCATATTTTGGTGTACATGAAGGTGATGGGCGAGAGCCTGCTCCTGCTTATCGAGGAACATCTTGGGTATCTTCCGCCCTGGTACTCGTATCCACGTCTTCTGTCTGGGCTGCGTAAACTGATAGGTGACTCGGCCAAAATGTCTTTTCGGCCCCCACCCCCTGTAGACTGCAGAAACCTTTGCCATGGGCACTGCTTTCAAATCAGCACTACAACAGCCGGCCCTACACACCCCTCAAAATCTGGTCGAAGAAAAGGAACTCACTAGAATGTGGAGACGTAGTTCCTGCTGTATTCCATCATTGCCGTGACATGCTTTTGTATCTAAGGAGCAGATATCACACGTTGCACAAACCCGCCCGATAATTCGATGGAGCAGAGCTTACCTCATTCAATCTACTTTCAAGGCGACTAAAATGTTGCATGTGCTGCGCCAGAGCTGCGCGAAACCGAGGTGAATCCTGGAAAAAGTGATACAGTAAATTTCAATAATTCTGTGCAGGTGAGACATGAGAGTCTACTTGACCCACATATGAGTTCCACAGATTTTTCAAGGAGCTCACAAACAAAACTTCTGTCATTGCGGAAATTTCCCGTAATTTGTAATAGCATTCAACGCAAGTAGTGTAGCTAGGCGATTGCGGATTCTTTGTATCGGATCCAGCCGGGACAATGATCGTTTCTGGGGCGTTCATACTGACTAAATGATCGAAAAAATATGGGGACACAAGCTCCGACATGAGCGTCAACTAATGACGCGGTTCGGCGACGGAGGGGGGGGGGGGTGGGAAGGGGCTTTCCATTGATGTGTCGACCCATCTAGGTAGCATCTGCTTGTGCTGACACCTTTTATCA